TGTTCATGTTATATTTTTGTAACCCTCGTTTTAAACATGTCATAGATTCGTAAAAACGTATGAAGTGTCGTACGTTGAAGTGAGACTGAACTTATATTACCGACATCTCGGCCCGTATTCACAAAACCGTTCTCATGCTCAAGCATGGATTCTGTGCTCAAACTAACTCTGTTACCCGCTAATAATGTGACACGCTCAAAATGTCAAATGTTAACATTGAAATGATGTTCGGTTTTCAGACTCCATAATTCTTCCAAATCATATTGATAAAATGAGAATTGTATTCATCTATCACCGGAACAAGATATATGGCTTGAGCATAGAATCTGGCTTTGAGTATGAAAACATTTCCGTGGATTTACGGACCACCTCTAAATTCTATATGTATCATCATGGTATATTTTTCATAAAAGTTTATTTATCTGTGTATATATCCGTACTTCACTGATACACTGTCATATCTTACTATATCATGAACTCCTCACTGATGTTCGGTTCATATACATACATGTATATTATATATAAAGAAAAAAAATCTCAACAACACGTCACTAGCACTTTCATCTCATCAAAGAGAGAGAGAGAGAGAGAGAGAGAGAGAGAGAGAGAGAGAGAGAGAGAGAGAGAGAGAGAGAGAGAGTTACCTGTGTATGTGTAAGAACGTGCCAAGTTTGGGTGGTGGAGGAAAGCCGGAGTTCCCGGAGAAAAACCAGTGGCCACTGCCCCACGTAGGTCTCGAACCCGCGACCCAGTGGTGGAGGGCTAGTGGTAGCAGAAGATGTGTGTGTGCTCTGGTACGCTGTTGTACTGTGGTATATTAAAATATAAAAACCTAGAATCAATCGTTCATTCTGAATGGAGTTTCGAAAAGTTGATGATTTGACATCAACTTTGAAAAAGATATATGTCCCTAATTTATTTATCGGCATTTTGTGATCTCACGAAACGGGAATAATAAAAGTTTTGCTTTCAACAATGTAACATGGTTGTGTATAAAGTAAAACTTTGATATTACATATTTCCAAAAATGACGAATCTTATTGAAGATAATAAAACGGGCTGCCAAGTTTATGTCATATTTAAATATCATTTAATTCAAAGCGGTAGACATTTTTTATATTTATGGTCTTTGATCAAATCTATTCATTTCTGGGGAAGAAGTACGTATAATAATTTAATTGCTAGGATTTTAAAACTTGACGGACATACGGCATCTGCAGGATTTACAACTCTTGATATCCATTCTCGTCACTGAAATCTCAAGTTTGATCTACATGATATACAACGTACAAATCAATATACCGTACCATCGGTCGGGAGTGTTGATCTTACTCCAGTAAAACGTCCAATAGCGCTGGTAAAGCCGACCTCCTACCTTTCACATACCAAAGACCATGGTTTAAATGATTTATGTAATTTATATTTCATTAAAATTTATGGGGTGTCTCAATACGCCTAGAGTGTATCATGATTTATTGCAATACCGAATGAATATATTGCAATACGTATCCCGATATATTGTCACAGGCAAAAATGTGCTCAATTTAAAACGAAATTGTTGTCAGAATGTTAACAAACTTAATCATATACAATATGGATCACACTATTGAAGATTTTGTCAAACGAATCATTGATTACGAAATTTAAATTGATTCCCACCACTAGCTAGTAATAGCTTGATATATGGTTATTGGCATATCTGTTCGAATTTGTAGTAATTTAAAAAGTTTAAGTAAATACTTAAAATAAGCTTCAGAAAAAACATTGCGATACAGCGATATTTCATCTTTGTATTGCAATACGATACAATATGCCTGTGTATTGCGATATATATTGTGACAGCCCTATTAAAATTGTTAAAAAACATCACAAATTGTCCCGATATTTTGAATCAAGTGTAATCGATCACCGGTTTGTATGGGGTTTTGTAAATGATTCAATATGCAGGCTATAGGTGTACAAGTAAAATGATTAGGAACACTACAAGCTGAAGTTTGGAACTCGAGTTATACTGGAAATAATAAAACGAACAGCAATTGCAATAAGATGAACAGTTATGAGTTACTGGTGATATTACGAGTTGGTGGAAGAAAAAAGCGTCGCTGGAGAAATGGATTTAATCTAGTACCCGTGTAGGTTTGAGTTCGAGTTTCCCCTGGCCCTTACACCAGACTTGAACATTTTGATAGATAGATGTCTGGTGTTAGGACAAGAGGAAACTCGGGCTAGTTTGGGGAAAGAATATGTCTTCTATATCCCACTGGATAATCATATGATCTACTATACTGTTGCTTGACAAGTCGTTGAGCCGTTCCAGAGTGTCAAAGGTCAAGGTACGTGGAAACGCATCCGGTACCTTCACTGCAATGAGTTTTAGCTCCTCTGGCACATGCGAGTTGTGAGCTTATGGCATGAAAAACTGAAGGACCTACAGGGCTCTGATATTTGACCAACAGGCTCCTAAACTTAAGTGTTACAAAGCCTCCTCCTATAAATAACCTTGACGTACTTTCAAGGTCAACAAGGGTGTTTTAAGTTTAGGCAACATTGACTATAATTGGTAACAAGTTTTGTGAAATTTCTTCTGGAGCCCCATAAGGTCCACGATCTTGATATTTGGGAAATGGGAACCTTGGATAGGATGCTATACATGACTAGCATTCCTTCAAAGTCACAGGGGGAAAACATGTTAAAAATATAACTACAACAACCATAAGGTTTAGTGCCATGATACATGTACGCGAATAAAGCAAAAAGAAGAGGCATCGCAACAAACTCTATTGAGATTTCCAATGATGGAAGAATACTATAAATACTATGAATGTACACATGTACTTTGGTGTGATATCTAGACAGTACAAATCCTTCAGTACTATAATTGTATTTAGGTCAAAGGTCAATTACTTAGGTAATATAATTGTATTTAGGTCAAAGGTCAAATACTTCGGTAATATAATTGTATTTAGGTCGAAGGTCAAATACTTGGGTAATATAATTGTATTTAGGTCAAAAGTCAAATACGTTCGTAATATAATTGTATTTAGGTCAAAGGTAAACTTTAAACACTGGCTGGGGTTTGATGCTATTACTACAAGATTGAGAGGTTAGTTAGTTTCATCCTTTTAACAGTTGTCAATGATTTACAAACAACACCTATGTTTTGGTCTGTCTGTAATAGAAGTTAAATTTGCTTCAATGTTTTCGCTGGAGTTGAACCTGGGACGTCTGGTGTACTAGTCTTGCACTCTACTGAATGAGCTAAAGAGAAATTCTCGCAAGTCAAATTGGTAGGAAACAGCTAGAATTTCTCCAGAAAAGAAGTTATCCTAAGTTTCCCAAGGGTCAAAGAAATTCTTGTGCAAGTATCTGCGAGTATTTTATCAATATTTCCCTGGTCCTATGTGACTGCCATTGTTACAGAGGTAATTATTTTCTCAATGCTTCCACTAGGGATTGAACCTGGAACCTCTGGTTTACTAATCTTAGGCTCTATCAAATGAGCTAAGGAAAAATTCTTCCAAACCAAGTCAGTAGGAGATGGCTTGTATTTTACCAGGGTGACATGTCAGTAGTGAAGAAAACAACAAACAACAAAGTGTTAAAATCTACATTTTAATGACATTTAAAATGATTACAATGTACATTGTCTTTTTGGATCAATAACAAAATCATATCTTCAAAAATCAATTATTAAACTTAACAAATACAAGTTTACTGTGTAAAGTTTTAGAAATGTTTGTATAAAAACAATATCTGTTAAGGTTAAACTGTAGGTAATGGCACTGACTGATATTATGATACAATGTAGTTAGTTAGAGTTAGTTAGGAGGCACGGTAGTCTAGTGGTAGCACACCAGGCTCGTGACGGAAGGGTTGCGGGTTCGAGTCACGGCACGGCACTGTGTTGTATCTTTGAGTAAAATTCTTTACTCCGCTTGTTCTAGTCTACTGAGCTGTAAATGAGTACGTGGTTGGGTAGGGCTAGAATTGTAGAATGCTAGCTGTGAGCGCCGAAATGGCAGCACCGGCTGTATGCTCCCCAGGGAGTTGAGAAAGATATTGGCTGGTTGTAAAGGCCCTATAACCACGGATAGTAATTTGTCAATAGCTTTGAGACGAACTACGAACTAGGTTGTGATAAAGTGGTATATTAGAAACTCAAATTATTATTATAATAATTATTATTAGAGGAGGTAGTGACTGATGCTATGATACAGTAGTGTTGTAGAGACGGAGGATAGCATTTCTCTCATTCCTGTGTGTATAACCCTGCAGGTCGGGGATTGAGAAAAGAATACACCTGCTGTTACCCACTGAATGTATCGTAAGAGGCGACTAATGTGCAGAATTGGGGGTTTGCTTTGTGCCCTCTATTTGGGGTCACAAAAGCGACCAAAATAGCTCTGCTGCACCCATTGCAATATTCGGAATCTTAATATTTCTCTCTAATTCTGACTACTTTTTATTTTCTGGCACCTTGCTTGGCAATAACTCTCTTTTGACTTTAATGTTGAAGGTTCGCACAGGTGAGAAAGGCAATGGGTTCTGGCCCTAGGTTTTATTTTGTTTAACGCCCAATCAACAGCTAATTAAATTAGGTCATGTAAAGTCATGATGCATCCATGTGTGTTGTGTATGCATGCTTGCATGTGTGTGCAGAAGGCAGGGTATGTTGGTTTCTGAACTATTTCTGGTGAATAGAATGAGAAAGAAATGCTGTTTCATGCCTAGAGGTGTAGGTTGGGGTGATTCCACCCTCAGGATTTTCAATTGGATGCAAAACCCTTGGCAAGCCTTGGGTTTTAACCAATAAGAAAATCCCTTGTGTGGAATTTCCCAATCTTATAAATCTAGGCATGTTAGTTATCTCATGGAGTTAATGAGATCCAGAAGGTGTTCTTTACCTTCTCCAGTACAGTATCGCTAGGGCTTCATGTTTACTACGGATGTAACCGATTTGCGTTCATACTGGCAGAAAAATAAAAAAATAAATACTACAGAACAATTGTTTGCTTTCATTGATTTGTTCTTAAATAGTTTATTTATTTACTACATTTTGTAAATGCGTCGTCCTTTAAACATCATTGGTGGAACAGTCCTGTTTAAATAAATTGGCGCCAATAATTAACCGTAGTCATTTGAGCGTTTGACGCAGGGGCATTCTCCATGTTATCCGAAGTGAAGCGACAAGACTCTCATTTAACAAGGTTATTTTAAGACATCATAAATAAACTACATGTTACGTCACAAGAGATTTTGCTTTCATACACAAATGAAATGCATTTCTGCTGGTAATGATCATATAGTGGGTTGCAGCACAGAACAGTGCTGTTGCTGACATTGATTCTCCTCTACTTCAGTTTTATTGCACAAGAGGTAAAATTGATACATGTTCAAACATTAAAATTGCTGAAGATACCATCAGATATTCATGGAGTAATGAACATGCAGTGAAACATATCTATAGCATGGGACAACGAAATCATAGAATGTATACATGAGAGTCACATGACTTTGATAGACAGATGAGGACTTGTAGCATACGTAAATCATATAAAAAATAGCTTTTTATCTGATGTTTAGGAAAATAGTTAACCCTTTCACCACTGTAGACCATAATGGACTCATCCAGGTCAATGCATGGGGAAAGTCTACTAAAGTTGCATAGGGGTGAAAGGGTCATAATGCTTATTTTCAGGTACAAAAACGTATAACAGTTCGAATTTCAGTTATTGTGCCTTACAATTCGGAAATGCAGTCAGCAGTTTAAATTTGCTAACAAACGATCAATGTACAGAAGATCCAAGCAACAAAACTGTACCTCCGGGAAACTTGTATATACAATATTTACATCTATGTTATGTCGTTGTAGGCATAATACCACTAATGTTAATTAAAACACAGTTGTACTGATCACCTATCATCCACAAGGCGAGTGTTTATTTGTGACTTTTCAGTGACAGGTAAGATATGTACACTGTCGCTTTCATCTGACAAATGACCAGTGAAGCGTTTGTACACAAAGGTGTAAGATAAGTACAAGTTGGCGACATAAAATCGAAGTCAATTAGGATAAGCTGTAAGTGTATGTATGTACACTTAGTTGTTATACATGTACAATTTGATTCCGCTATTCTTTGAAAAGAGAAATGATGAGTATAACAACAACGCTATGCTTTGTTTAATACCTGGTCATAGATGTGTGAGAGTTTTTACCAACATTGTTCATCAGAAGAGTTCATCAATTTGTACCGATTTTACTGTTTCATCACTGTCTGTTGATGTTGTTTATCTAGATGTTTCATCAATTTTCATCATTGCCACTGATGTCTTAACTAGACCTTCACTTTCTTGGACTGTGAGTTGGCGGTCACTTCATCCCAAAGGTCAGACTCGTACTGGTCAGTGTAGAGGGATGGCAGCAAGTCCTGCAGGTCAATCGGCTCAAACACCGACAGATTATGGCTGTGAGGGAAGATAAGCACAAAGAGTGACTTGTTGTATTGTTATCTGTTTACAAATTTTTACAGTTATGTTTTGAAAATAACTTCATCATCACTACACAAAAAGGAACTTTGTATGATAGCATGGATGCAAAGTGTTCCGGTATATACAGTGTTTGTCATACAGTAAAACAAATTCAAGACACAAAAGTAAGTCTTGAATTCAACGCTCCCTCAAATATAATCTGATAAATGAGAGAACTAAATTATTGTACAAATTCTGCACATCTGCTGTTAGACATATACATTAACTCATTCACCCCTGAAATTTCATAATGGACGCTTCCAACCTTTGAATTGGAAGAGCTCAAATGTGTCTTCAGGGGGAATGAATTAAGGCTGCACATATATATGACAAATTTTACACAAATATACAGAAAGGCAGTAAGCTTACAATTTGGATTGAGATCATCCTTTAAAATCTCAATCTGTCCTCAGCTTCCAGGACTGTGCTCTGTGTACCCCTGGAACACATCATGACAAAATCGAAGGCTCTTTATGCATCATCTTGTGGAGGATACAAGTAGACAAGTTTTGATCCTTTGATGCACATAAAAAGAATCATGCAACAGCACAATGGTAAAATTGACCTGCATAGATAGCTAACCGCATGTGTTCTGATTTTGCCATGATGTAATCCAGGGATGCAGAGAACGTAATTAAGTGAGCAAAGCCCCTGGGAGTTTGAGGATGGATTGAGATTAATTAAACGGTATTTATGAACTGGGTAAACTTTAGATTAAGGTTCCTGGCATCCTCGATACTCCAGGGGTTACACCCACTTTCGCTCTCTGCATCCCTGGAATATGTCATAGCAAAATTGAAGGCAAAAAGATAGCTGTTTGATTGGTCTCAGGTAAAAAAAACACCTGACCAATGGCTAGGCCGATACCTGTCCTTTGAAGATGACAAAGGAGAGAAGACCGACTTCAAAGCCTGTCAATTTTTACCGTTACGGGATTGCAAGATTCTGTACTGACATATCTGAATCACTGAACAAGTTCCATGTACAATGTACTTACAAATCGGGTTGTTGGGCTGATCCAGCTGGTACGGGGTACAATGCTTCGTACACACGATCTGGTTCGCTACCATGGATAGCAAAGGCATTGAACTTAGTGACAGCTCTGGGGAAATAGCTAACGGGAAACCTCGCCTCACCAATCCAACGCCCACTGCCCTGGATAGCCACTTTGTATGCGCATGGTAACTCTTTCTGCAAATCCAAAATATATTGTTTTTCATCACCAAACTTCAAAATGTTAACTTCTATAAAGTAAAAAGTTCTTCAGCTGCTGTTGCATAGTGAATTACAGGCTTTATGCAAGCTTTTAAGCACAGTCAGACCTGCTCATGCGATTTGTCTGCTGGATAACCGAACTACATTGTACTTGGTATTGAAGCTGTTGAAAACCCAATCAATCAGTCAATCAATCAACAATCAATTAATCAATTTCATACAACCGCCTCAATTGGAGACCAGTTTTGATGTTATCCGTGATATTTATTCAACTGTGAACCTATATTAAGAATTCAACCTTCAGATTTCCTTGTGATGGTCTCCTAGTGCAGGTTTGACTGTAACACATTTGTTAAAATTTGGATTGTTTGTGTTATACGTTCTATAAACAGCTATGGTCATTTAAGGACGTGCCAGGTTTTGGTGGTGGAGGTAAGCCGGCGTTCCCGGGGGAAATCACCGACCTACGGACAGTACCTGGCGACTGCCCCACGTAGGCCACGAAACCGCGACCCAGTGGTTGATAGTGCATGGTAGCAGAATGTCAGACACCTTAACCACTCGGTCACCGGGGCCCCTTTAATTTGGTTTGTGAACTGTCTTCACTGAAACACTACTAAAGTTTGACAGATACAGGTAATCTTAACCATCATACCCTATTCTGGGACATTAAAACTACAAGGTGACAATAAGCAGTGTCGGGTCACAGGCCCATGCTTATAATGTCGACTGATTACGCAACATTAAATTTACGAATAATTTGTCTACATTATTTACCTTGACTATATTCCTCACTCCATTCAACAGCAAATTTAGATGTTGTCCATGTCTGCAACAAAAATCAAGACATGTGTATAAGTTCACCACTTTGACACACATATAACACCACACTAAAACAATATCACACATATGATTTCAGTAGTGTAAGGGGGAATATTTCCTCTTGGCCAAAGCTCTGAATTGTGACATATTCCCAGTTAGTGGGCTTACATATAATAATACACAGGCAAAAGCCTATATATCCATCCAGATCATATGTATGGTCAACCTCTAGGCTGATGCCCTGACAGTGGATAAGTTCATTATTGTCAAGTTCATGATTATAAACTTCAAACATTTTTATTGTTTGTTTTATTTCTAGGTATTCACCTAGAAGTGGGCTAACATGTCCTAACATACAGTCAGAGATTTTACTTACGGTGAGAGCTCTATTTCTAGGTAGTCACCATCATCGTTCAGGAAGAAGGCTTCAACAACTGGAAAAGGGAGATAACCAATAATTTCTCTCGAAATCAAATCTGAAACATTAGTGTTTTCACCCTCGAAGGAGAACAAAACTCAGTGGCTGCCTATCTTTATATTTCAGCTGACTATGGTCACCATGAATCAATTCGGAAGCAGTGACCCAGGCAGCTGTGCATACATGTAGGGCTTATATAGTTCTCCTCAGGAAGATTACGGGATTTAAACCCCTCTATATTAGAATGTGAATTATGGATAAGTGCATAAATGAAGCTTACAAACGTTGTTGTAATCATTACTGAAATGAAAAAATAGTCTTAAAAGTACCTTCATGGTTCCAGAGTTCCCAGCATGCAGTTCCTGGCTCTGTGTTAGGCACAGGTTTGTCATCAAAGAATTCCGCATCAACACGGATACATAGATACTTTCCCTCATCTACGGAGGTCAGCGTGAGTTTTGCGGGGCGGTACTTGATCCCGAGAGGCTGACTGTCCCAGGTCGTATTGATACAGAAGGTCAATGACTTTTCGTTGAGAATCTCGTCCCACAGGTCAGACTTGTACTGGTCAGTATAGTTATTAGGGAGGATGCTCCGCAGGTCAATCGGCTCAAATACTGATAAGTTGTGACTGGAACGTAATGCAAACTCTATACAATTGTGGGTTAAATCAGACATTAAGAATATCCTGTTTATCAAAAATTTATTCTTCAATCCCATGCCTGTTTTTATTACAATGTATTTGACTTATTTATGGAGGTATTGAACATGACCAACACACAATATTGATAATAAATGAGTTTTGACTCTAACTATGTAGCTGAGAACTGGATTGTGTCGATCTTCGACGACCAGATAGCTCAATTGGTTGAGCGTCTGTCTAGAGTTCGGAGGGTCCCGGATTCGAACCCTGGTCTGGCCGTGCATTTTTCCTCTTCTGTTACAATTACACTCTGATGAATACTGTACGTGGTCCTAAAAAGGTTAAGGCACGTTCGTCAGATTTACTATAATTAGCTTTTCCTTTGACAAAGCCATGATGCCATAGAGACAGACGGTCTATAGTTCTAGAAACTCCCGATTCTAGAAAAAAAAGACACTTAGTAAATTCTGGTAAATATAAACTTTGTATATTAACAAAGTACACAGTGACAACACACTCATTTGCTCAGTCTGAACGAGGAAAATTCTCCAATATTTCTAGTACTTAGTTGATTTCAACCAGTAGAAATATAAATTACCATGTTTTTTTTAACCATATCTAAATAAGTTGATTAAAAATACCAATATCAGTTTTTGCTTTGACCATATTTAAAAAAAAATTGACGAAAATCACCTACAAATATGGAAGTTCAAATTTGCCTGTAGGAACTGGGTAGAGTGCTTCGTAGACTCTGTTCGGTGGTGGACCGTGCATAGCAAATGCATTAAACTTGGTCACACATTTTGGGAAGTGACCGGCAGGAAACACTGCATCCCCCGTCCATCTGTTACCTTGGATACTGGCTGTGAAGGTACATGGCAACTCTTTCTATTTTTTAAATATAAAAAGTAGAAAACGCCTATAAGATCCCTCTTAGTTTTTCGAAAAAGTGTAGGCGTGATAACTATTTCATGTTATATGAAATCGTTTACTTTATAGTCAGAAAATAACATGGTTCAGCTCTGTCACTCGGTTAAAAAGATAACCAGAGTTACCTCCAGTAGAAAACAGTGCAGAGTAATATTCAAGGGAAGCGGACGTAAAACCAATCAATCAATCAATCAATAAAAATGCCTACAGGACAATTGGTTATGGACAAGTTTAAACCTATTGTAATACATATTTAATAAAGCATTTTTTATTTTTTATTTTATGGACAGGTTCAATATTATCAATGAATTAACAAGTAAGGAATGGATAACTTACATGTTATCAATGAGAAAAGTAAAATATTTTCTAAGACCAGATATACTTTGTGGACTGATAATATAATAAATGTTTGCAGGTAGTTTGATTTGAAAAGAAATATATCTGCATATTGTTCTTAAAAAATACAGATGGTAATTCAGATGAGTAGGATAGTATTGAGATGTTTCAATGATAATTGATATGAATTGCACTGCACAAACTTAATAAATGAAACACTTACAAATTTAGCAGTTCCAAAAATTTGGATAAAATTGTGTGTGAAATGGAAAGCCACAAGGAATTCAAAGAGGTATGAACTGTTCGGAGTAATCTTAAATGATCTTTGAAATTTAACATTTCAAATCCATATCTATAGAACTGCTATGCATTTCCAGAGACTGCTGCTCAGGAAACCAAATATACTGTATTAAATAAAAAAAACCACTTACCCTTACTAAATTCATCTCCCCGTGTAGAACAAGGTTAAAATGCTGTCCATGTCTGAAGATTCAAAAGAATTATAAAGCACCTGTATGCCATTGTAATTCTATATATCAAATGCACATTTCCAGAAACTTTCCTTTATAATACTGGTAGGTGGTGATTTTGGAAACAAACTTAAAGTATCATTACATAGTTGATCCTTGAAAAAAGAGACAGAATGACTGTCTTTTTGATTGAGAACTATTCAAGTGAAGAAACAAAATAAGAATCGAAACAAAATTGTTGAAGTGGTTTTTGAAACATAGATATTTGCATCCTGGAATCATCACTTATCCTGTGCGACACGCCTAATTTTTGAGAACTCACTTCTTGGGTAGTTGTCCTGTAGAAATTGGACCAAAAAGATTGAAAAAGATTGAAAAAAATCATGCAATAATCACTGTGTTGTATATATTGAAAATGACATAGAAAATCGCTCACCATTAGTCTGTATTTGATGTACAAATCATATTACAATTCAAGTATCATGAAATGGTGACAATTTTTCAGCAGAAAATTTTGAGTTATCTCCCCTAGACCATGACCATACATGTACTTACGGTGAAAGCTCTATTTCCAAATAGTCATTGTCATCATTCAGAAAGAAGGCTTCTACCACTGAAAGTACATTTAACCAGTATCTGTGTTAATTATACTGTGTATTAAATATAAGAAGCAATGATAAGGTTTTTAAATTAATACATTTATATCATATATCCTTATCTGACATTAATACTCATCTGCTTATACAGTGTATAACCACCATCATATACTCAGGCTGTTACACAGTGAAATAATACCTTATCATATACCCAGACCGCTGTATAGTTTAATAATATCATCACATCATGCCTCGGCTGTATAACACCATAATATACCCAAGCTTTCCAATTCATTTAAAATGAAATACTGAATTTGATTGGTCACTCAATAATATAACTTTCAACAACATTAACCATGATATGAGGATCCATAAATTTCCTATTTGCATATGGAGCCATGAAGATGTGGATATTTAATGACCCCGACATGTCATAAAATTGAATATCAATGATGTCACAAACAATAGCCCGACCCTTTAAGGACAATGTAATTCAGCCTCATTTTTAATGGCTAACCAATATGTCACCAATTCACGGCAGCTATAGTGAAACAGATTTGAAATAACATCAAAACTCAAGAAAAAAAACACATAAAAATAACCAAAAATCATATCTTCAATAAGATTCATCAGGTTGGAAATATGTAATATCAGTAATACAAACAATGAACGTATAAAATGTGTTGCATCGTTTCAAGACTGACTGGTCCCTTTGTCAAGCTATGACTGTGTGAGCGATATGTATTTAGTACGGTACATGTACCTGTACAAAGATGTGACGAAATTGTGTATATTTTATGTCACTCGACCCGGGATGTTTCGCCCATTGATAGGGAGCGTATACGTATACACACTGTATCAGATAGGTTACAGGTAGGGTGTAGATCTTGCCCTCTCCCCTGTTATGTCAGTACCTCAGTAAAGTCTATATTACTAAAACTTTGATATAGCCTAAAATCTTTTGTTTCTTTCAGTGGGTTAATTGATCTGAATAAAAATGGGGATAAGTTTTTTGTTTAGATTTGCTTAGGTATACCCTGATTATTCTGTTGCAAATAAATATTTTACTTGCCTCAGTGTACATTGCCTGTAAAACCCAATAAGAAAGAGTACAATTGTGATATACCTTATATGAAAACTCCTACAGCAATAATATATCCGACAATTATACACAATTTTACCAAAGCAAAAGAATGTAGTTATATCTCAAAAGAAAATACTTACCTTCATACAACCATAGTTCAAAACAGGGCTCGCCAGCCTTTCCTCCTGGAGGTACAGGCTGGTCCCCAAAGAAGGGGGCGTCAACATGAATCTTTAAATCCTCTCCATTGTCAGCAGTGCTCAAGGTCATACGGACAGGGTCATACTCCCCAATAAGGGGTTGTCCGTCCCAAGTCTTTGTAATGCATGCGCAGTACTCCATGAATATACTAGGTCCTTATATAGATGCCTGAAGCAAGTAAAATGTACAATAAAAAAAGAGTTTTCTTTCAACCATATATTATATATCACATGCAGTTTGAACAGGGTGTATTATTATTAAATGTTTGTTTTATTATTAAAATAAAATGTGTTGGTTTAGCAGATTCTTATCTGATCTAAAGGAAATTACTCCTAACATTCAAGGGATGACAGTACATTATATTGACAATGCCATCAGGAAAGTATTATTTTAAGCAAGGGTTCTAAAGCACATAGATTATTGGGTAGCATAGAGACTTATATAATACAACTTTATATGTCTCTGGGTAGCACAATCTGGTACCAAAATTGTATTGATAAGAACATACAGAGAGACCCAATACCTGGAAATCATTTTAGTGGCTTTTCTCTCTCCAAATTAACCTGCATGCATTTATGTAACTATACTTCACACAGTTTTCCCTTTATATTTTTTTTGTGGGAGGCCCAAAATTATCAAAACATAGCCCTGAGATCATGAAGCAATTCAGGATATTTCTGCTGTTTTTTCAGTATCTGATATCAATCTTCCTTTTTTTCCTGCATGAACATTTAAAATTGTTATAACTTCAAAAATTGTGTAATAAACCAATGGGACCACATGGGGGGAGGGGGCGGGGCTAAACTTTTGGGAAGTGCTTAATTAACAGGTTGGGGAAAACCACCAACTTTCGTATAATACTCAAACTCGCCTATTATACGCCAGTTGGAGTATGGATTTTTTTACTAAAAATAACCCAAATCGCATTAAGAGTAACTTTTGCACGATATTATTAAAAATCGCATTACTTTAAGACAACGTAAATAATATTTTGCCACAAGCTGTTTACTGAAAGAGTTGGCTACTTAATTAGAAACTTGATGTAACTTTACCGGAAATATTGCATCTATTTTTGGTACTTTCCCACATGCAAATAAAGTTTATTTTTGCATTTGTATTATGTTTCATGACTGAATAAATGTGACTTGGACGAACAATTTGAAACAGTTAAGATTAAAGTGATTTTGGCTATTTTTAGTAACAAATTCATACCCCTATTGGCGTATAATTATAACAGGCGAGTTTGCGTATTATACGCAAGTTAGTGGTTTTCCCCGACCTGATTAAGGGCTGCAGCAATATGCATACTTGAGTCATATCTCACAATACGGGGGCCGCTACAAACCTTTTGATAATTTCATATCATGCCACAAATTATCTGCTTGAAAGGATTGCATCGGGTTTTGTCATAGACATTAATAGTAAATACTATCAAATACATTTTTGTGTAATTTCTAAGTACTTTTGGGCACAGGGACCTGAGAATGTGTAAGAGAAATTTTACATGTTTTAGGGGTTTAGATCGACTATCGGTAAAAATGACACACCCAATTATCATATATGTACCGCGCGAGCTCGGTATACATGATCATTGGGGGTGTCAATTTCTGTCCAATTTATTGCTGCATATGATTAAGCATGCACCATTTCAGTAACTATAACTGCACATCATGTAATTTTCGATTATAACATGCCATCGTAATGAACACGTGCCACGGTTTCTCGCGCTGTCGTACGAATAGTACGGCGGTTACTCATTGTTTTACCTGTGGACCGTACACACCTGTATTGACCTTTGTAGTTCGCCGACAAAGCTACCGGAAATGAAAGTAGAAACAGCGGTACCGGTACGACCCCTATAAAGGCGGATTCCAAACCCACTAGTGCACACCGTGTCACTTAAAAAATCATATACAACGTTAGTATGTACCCATTCTAACTCATTAAATTAACAAAAATAATATATTTAGAATAATTGCTGAAGTTTGTAACGAATACGATTAGTAATCACATAAAAAATATCGATTACCCCTTGGGGCCTAGTCACGTGACGTTAATGACCATCAACACACGTCTGTTCGCCATATTTGTTGTGATTGTGTACAAACTAGTTACCGAGGGATAGAAGATAGATTGGTGGTGTCTACTACAGCATAACAATACAGGTAAGAATGACGTGATATTCGCATGGACATTTCTACATGACATACAGAGAAAATATTGTAATATTGGTGTCCGTGGTTACTGATAACAGGTCACAGGTGTGAATTCGAAGTTACCTATAGTCCCGCTCCCGTGTACAGATACACAGTGGGGAGTCGTGCCGGGTATATGTACATGTGTGTCTAAACTCCAGGACAACACATACATGGGCCATGTTTAGTGTACGTCACCATTGTCTGTTAAAATAACTTTTTTCAAGTTAATTTGTTACTATTTATCAATTAACGAAATGGAATATGGACCTGTGACAGTGCCTTGTAATAATTTACAGTAGAGCACGAAGGGGCACAGAAGTGTCATTTTCTCCCTCTTTTGACTGGTACCAACTCACAGGAACCCACTAGCAGGCACATCAATACTAAACTAATCCCCCCCCCCCCCCTGAAATTTCATAATGAACTATTCCAACCTTTGACTTGGAAGAGTTCAAATGTGTCTTCAGGGGTGAATGAGTTCAAATGTGTGGTGCTGGCATCTTGCATTAATTATATATAAGTTTGAGGAACACTCGACACCCGACTAAGACCATTACCATAACTTATGACACTTCAAAAGTTTGTAAGATTTCCAAAACAATTTTAACGTTGACATATGCATGCATCTACTGTAGTGTAAAAGTGAATACTATTTTCCACCTTGCCACAATTCAAGATAATGTCGCCCATTTCTTACAATTCTAGACAGTGTCAGCTACATTGTAACAGTTCCAGATAGTGTCAGCTACATTGTAATAATTCCAGACAGTGTCAGCTACATTGTAACAGTTCCAGACAGTGTCAGCTACATTGTAACAGTTCCAGACAGTGTCAGCTACATTGTAA